CCTTTTTCGGCCGTTAGGCCATATCTATGGCTAGGCCATATCTATGCTCCGGCTATATTCAGGGCTGCCAGCAGAAGCCAGGGAGGGGCTTCAGATAACAAAAAATTGCATCCCGCGAGGGAATGACTTTGAAACGTGTAGTGAATGTACTCTGGGTAACAGAAGGTGCATGTATTCTCTTCGTATGGATTTTTGTCAGGTCTCAGTACAATTGTCTAAAGCAGTGCAAGACATTGTGCTGCAAATTGCCTACAGCTGGGATTGAACCAGGCACCCCAGCATTATGAAGCGCGTAAACAAGAAGCATATTTAAACATGAAGCTTTAATCATATTGTTAACTCAATTTAACAAATATTAATTATTTCACCTGTGCTAGCCACATATTTTATAGTCCACATATTTTATTTCAGTAAATTGTTTTATTTTCAGAGTTTTCAAAGTTGTATTTATGGCTTCTCTATATTTTCATATTTGTTTACAACAAATGAATATTAACTGTGCAATATTTTGTCAGAAATGGATTCGTATTGGGCATTTTTTTTTTTACCAAATGCCTTTGAGTATTAGAAGTGTTATAATAATTGTTGTGATACTTCAGTTCTAATTTTTGTACTTTATACTTTGCTCTGCCTAGCTCCCTGTCCTGTAACATGTAACCTCCTAGTTGTAAACTAACATAGCTTTTTGTTGTGCAATAAAAATTGAACCTCATCTTAATGTCTCTGTTGTTTTTTTTAACCCTTTACTGAGTAGGGTTGTGTGAAACATTTCAGCTGGAGATGTGTTAGAATATTGGATGAAAACTGGTGAACAAACTTAACACTTGAACCGTGTTTTTTTTTAACGGCGCTACTGTAAAAGACACTTTGTGGTGAATACTGACACCTTTTTATAGACACTTTGTTGTGATTACTGGCAGGGTATTTTTTATTGGTGGTGGGAGTCTGCTAAGCACAGAAAAATACATGCATGGATGAATGCACTAAAAGTTTGAATTAATGAAATCTTGCGTATAGGAATAGGTGACTGAAATCTCGCCTATAATCATGAATGATAAAGAGCTCGCCTACAATAATAAGTGAATGAAATCTCACAACCAATAGTAAACTGTTTCATCCACAACCATGAGTAAATGAAATCTAACCTACAGCCATGAGGGAATACCTTACCTACAGCTGTGAGTGAATTATATCTCACGTACAGTAATGAGTGAATAAAATCTCACCTACAACCATGAGCTAATGATGTCTCACGTACAGTAATGAGTGAATGAAATCTCGCCTACAACCATGAGTGACTGATTTCTCACACTCACATACAGCCATTAGTGAATTATATCTCACCTTCAACCTTGAATGAATATCTCACCTGCAACAATGAGTTGGAAAGCATGGGTAGCTCTAGATTTAAAAAATTGACAATTTTGAGAACAGATGTCTTATAAGAATACTCAATCTTCACTGGACAAATTTCAGATACTATACGCAAATAAGAAACCAAGCCAGACAATGTATACAATATTATAAGAAAGCACTGCTGGAACTATATCAGTCAGAATGGATAAGTCAAGACTCCGCCATCAAGCCCTCATGCGGACACCGAAAAAATCAACATCACAGCACTCGGGACACTCCCATAAGCGCTCCACCCCCATCTTCAGCAGCAAGCAAAGAGTTAAAATTCCAATGGTACCAGTAAGTCTGATTGTATATCTGTCTCGCCCCTCCCCTGAGTGTCGAATGTCGGCCAGATCAGCTTGTAACTCCTCGCAGTGCCATTCTCCTCAGACTGTAATGATTTATCTGTTGCTCGGCATTGTTCACTCGCTCCCAAAGGACCCTCACAACATCCAGCTTGTCCGGCAGAACCGGCTTACACTTTAGTAACTGAAATCTTGGCTATCCTCCGAATAACGGTCCCAAATTATCGAGGCCGAAAATATACCCTAACAGGGCCTCAGTCACATGTCAGTTGCATACTTCAGGGGACTATACAGCCACCGCCGAATTGCGAACTTCCGAGGACTATACCGCCACTGCCGACGGTATCACACAGGCTGCTCACGGGGCATTGATTGGGGCTTAACTAGATGGCTAGGACTCGAGCAAATAAAATGAAGGAAGCTGCAGGAGATGCAGTAGCTGCTGCTCGTGAGCCCCAGGCATCTAGTTTAGCCCCAATCCACGCGGCGTGGGGAGGGGGGGGGGATACTCGGAAGTGCGTAATTTAAGCGCTGATACATGTTGCAGGAGATCGCAGATTATGGAGAGGTATGATCGCCCACTCCAGTCGGCAAGGCACCTGATGATGATGATAATGATGATGCTAAGATAATGAACTGGCATATTTGGATTTTTCCTGGCTTTTCTTACCAAGATGTGCTCACATTGGCTTCATGGTTCCTCCGTTAGAAACACGCAGATTTGCTTAAAGCAATGTAAACCTACAGTTAACATCTTTATTTCAGTTTGACTTTGCTGTGATGTCCTGGTACGGACTAAAGAAGATTCGCGCCATTCCTTGTTGTATTTATTGTCTTTCTAAACGGATTATGACTTCGATAAACCCAGACCCTCTGTAATTTATGTTATTTTACTAGAATAAATGCGGGATATAAAACCAAAACCCACCACTGATAAAAAATTAATTCAGACTGTTCAGAAACTACTTGAGGACAGAAAATAGAGAGGATATAGACCTAGTTATATCTATGATAGATTTTACTACTTTTACCAATGGCCACGTCATCCAAAAAAATGGAAAACATCTTAAGACATCGCAAGTATAATAGTAACTGGAAGAAAACACGGCTCATAAAATCTTCAGACGGATCAGGGGAAGCCAGCCTACTGTAAACTGTGTCAGTGCACAGTTGCACCAAGAATTAGTAGCATATCAAATCATGAAAAAATCCGAAGAACACAGGATGAAAACTGTCAAAAAGCCAGTCACAGCTTATTACAACAATGACTCTTAGGCAAAGTAATGATAAAGTTAAAGGCAGCAGAGTTGCAACTGGCTGTAGGCATGACCTGCCATTGTGCAATACGCACAATTGATCATCTACGTGAAATCATAAGAGCGCATGGTCGGGGGAGTACATTGGAGAACATACAGTTGCATATAACTAAATGTTCATGCCTAATAAAAAATATCGCCTGCATTTAAGGGTGACCTTATTTGTGATTTTCGGAACAAGAAATATTCCATCATTATAGATGAGTTGCAAAGACTTCATCCCATCTGAGAAATTGCTTACAGATTTTACATCCGAAAAGGTTTACGCTGTGTCTTCCACTTGTTCCAGTGAGGATGACAGTGAAGAATTCAATCTATAGCTTTTGATGTGAAGCGAGTACAATGTTACACTTTATTTGGCATTTTCTGGCATATTTTGGGTAATGGTTTGGCATAAAATGAAGTTTTTCATATGGCAACCCTGCGTTAAGATTATGTTAGTGGCCTCCCCTTGGTTACTGAACTGCCGTCTGCTGCTTGGAAATAGAAAACGAAATAATAACTCATGATAAAAAAAACGTCTCTGGTTGTTTTATCTGTTGTTCTCCTAGTTCTGGTAAGTGCATTTCTCCGCTGTATCCAATCATTCGGCAGGCACATGAGGTTTTATTCTATGTTACCTACTTACTTCTAGCTTACTAGTTAAGTGTCTATTAATACTATTATTAGTATTATACAATAAATTCAACAATAATACAAGACGCACTCAACCCGACGATCGCCTTGTGTTGAGAGCTTCTAAGGGGTTCATTTGAGGGATGCAATTTTCCGTTAGTTTGAAGCCCCACCCTGGCTATTGCCAGGGGCCGCAATATAGATCGGCCATAAATATGGTTTAATGGCTGTCCTAGTGGGATAAAATGTACCAATAATATTAATACTTACTATTCTTAGGGATTGTTTGTAACCGCAGGTTCTAAGTAAGTCGGTCTGGTAGCGGACATTTTTGCTATGGTTGATTATGACAATGGTATGATGCGCTGTACCATTCATAAAGCAGTGGAACACAGTTTGACAATACTTAATGTAAAAATATCTTTTAACCCTACCAGACCTGAGGAGCTGAACCTAACTGCCCCCTATACCTGAGCTCCTGGGCATTAACGCGAAATAACCAACATGATATAAACAAATATTAGTTACATGCAAACAAGTCGCTAGAATAAGATGAAACTTGGAGACACTGTAGTAAATAGGTTTACCTTTTATCTAGTGCCAATATTGCACCTTTGTGTGCCAATCCACTCAGGAGGATCAGCCTTGTTTCACAAATTGAGCACCAGATGTTGCTGTTTGAGGGATACGCCCCATTCTCCTACTATATATCTATTTCTAGATTTATAATTTTCAAGATTTTTATCATCATTCGCGCTCTCACTAAATGTGTCACTTCAGCTGTGAACGTATTCTTCATGAAATTATGACTCCACTGAGTCTGAATAAACCAAAGTATCGATCACCTGTTGGACTGTGAAAAGCCTAGACCTACTTTACTTTCCTGTTGAAGTGCTTGGTTCATCAGCTGCTAGTTTCATTGTGAATTTTCAGAATTTGTTCACGTAAAACAACACAAATTTAATCCAAACGCATGTGGGCGGACATCTAGGAAGTCTATCCATGAGGTCTGATTTATGATTACGATTGGCTAGTTATTTTTAGTCTGGGACTCATTTTTTTCAAGTACTATGCAAATTGCTGAAAATTAGGGACAGCAGTATAGCGTCAGGTTAAGAAATTCCCCGAAAAATTGGGTCAGCGGTCTGGTAAAAAAGCCCTGATCCAGCCAATTTTGTGACAGAAACCGTCTCAACTCTTACACGCTGAAACCTAGGAAAAAATGAGTTGATTCCAGAGCTCTGCTGGTCCAGAGACACACTTAAAAGACAGAAACACATATACACAAACTCATTGACTGAAACACAGAGGTGCAGACACGTATACATAGAGATGTACAGACATACACAAACTCACACATGTACAGATGCAGGTATAGATTGCCTGAATTTATAGAGACAAATACAGAAACAAATATGCTCATACACGCACAAAGACAGACACATATGAACTTAGAGAAGGAGAGACTGTATCTACTGGCATTCACATTAACTCATAATTTTATGCAATTTGAAACAAAAACTTGGTAACTGTGTACATTGTTTACCCTGTTGTGTATATCATTATCATCAGGTGCCTTGTCGACTGGCATGGGCGATCATGCCTCTCCACAATCCGCGATCTCCTGCAGCATGTATCAGTTCGTGTGCTGACACACCTCAATGCCATGCAACAAGACTGTCAAGAATCTTCTCTCGTTGTCTTCCTTTATCCCTCCTTCTACAGATCTTTCCAGTGGTCACATGTTCCATTTTCTCTCTTCTCATAAAATGGCTGAAAAATGATGACTGTCTCCTTCTGGTGTCTGTGATTAGTTGTCTTCAGGCTCCCACCTCCTTCAAAACCTCCTAGTTGCTCTTTTTCATCGCCCAAGGTATTTCAAGCATTCTTTTGTAAAACCACATCTATGAGGCCTCGTGAAATTGTTTGGCCTGCCTGCCGATTGTCCAGGACTCATAGCCATATGTTAAAACTGGATGTATGTAGCAAGCAAGGATTCTTTTTCTAACCCTCAATGACAAAGATATATTGCATAACATGTTCTTCATTTTATAAAATGCAGTTTTTGCCTGTCCTTTTCTGTTTCTTATCTCAGTAATGCATCTTTCATCATGGTTTTGATATGTAATCATGAAAAAAAAATATTTTATATTTGAACATGCCAAACTTCTGAAAGTAGCCGAAGTAGTAGGCATAAAATGGATGCACATACTGTTCAGCCTAGTCTGGACAACACAAGAGATGTAAATCAGTGTAAGTTGGTGATGTATGTAGATGGACTTACTATGTATTCTCATGAGATTAGTCCAGGTGATTCTTTCTTTTGTTCATATTCTGCTTTGTGCCGCTAAACGTCACATGTCAACAGATGATCAGTCTTCTTCTTGGTCGCCCCCTACCTCTTGGTGTTTCTACTTTTATGTAAGCTCTCATTGCTGGCACCATTGGACCATTCACATTAAATGTTTAAACAATTTCTGTCTTTATTTTTCCACATGATCTCTTTAGGTGATTGGTACCGATAATTATATGCCTTTGCTGTTGTCGTTTCTGCGACGAGCTGCCAACATGGCTGAGGGACAAGTTAAAGCTTACACTTCTGGGACAGCGTCCATGGCCTTTGTAACTGTACCGAACATTGAGATTGGCAGAAGGTTAGCACAGTAAGTTTGTTGTCGACCGTCAGACTTGTATACTGCTGTAAATACATTCAAGTATTTACTACATCACATGGTCAGTTTCATGTATCATATGTGTTTTTATATACTCAAGTTCAGGTATCAGATATGCCACCACATAGTCATGTTCAAGTGTCACATATACCATCACATAGTCAGGTTCAAGTATCACATATACCATCACATAGTCAGGATCAGAGATCACATGTATCATCACATAGTCAGGATCACGTATCACATATACCAACAAATAGTCAGGTTCAAGTATCACATATACCATCACATAGTCAGGATCAGGTATCACATATACCATCACATAGTCAGGATCACGTATCACATATACCAACAAATAGTCAGGTTCAAGTATCACATATACCATCACATAGTCAGGTTCAAGTATCACATATACCATCACATAGTCAGGTTCACAGATAATAAATACCATTAGATAGTCATGCTGATGTGAATATATAGCCTTAATTACTTCTGCTGGGATATCATCTGGACCTGCAGCCTTTCCTTCCTCCAGGAGGTTGAGAGTTAATTTCCTCATTAGGTGATATCTCACAGTTAATATCAAGCTCTATTTCTGAAGGCTGAATACCTGCAAGAACCTTCAGAGTTGGTCTATTCAGAAGTGATTGTGAGTTTGTAACACACTATCAGAAATGATAGCCTTGTATAACACAGTAGCAGAAATTATTATCTTATGTAATACGGTAGTAGAAATGATTGTATATATCGAATACAGTAGCAGAAACGATTTTATGCTTCTAAGAAAGTAGCAGGAGTACTGTCTGTATGTATACTACTTTTAAAAAAAACGGCAACAATGAAAAAACAATGTGTAGCCATTGAAAGAAAAATAACCTTGTCATAATTTTGGTATTCAAAATCTTTGTGATTTAATGAGTGAAACTGTACACACAGATAGCTTAGTTAGTTAGTTATAGTTAGTCGACAGATTATCCTTGTTGCACTTCGAACCACTCAGTGCATAAGAGCTTGAATCCCCTCCTCAGTAAATCCCACAGCGTGTAGCGGCTAATGTCATCAGTTCTGTGTTGGTTTATTATTCTTCTTTGGCTATCGGCATAGTGTTCTTCTTTGGCGGCACCCCATTTAATATATTGTTCTTGCAGTCTGACCATGGTTGCAGATTCACAGTTCTCAGTTGGTTCACGCAAACGCCTTAACTCTCTTGGAGCTTTCAGTATGTCAGCCTGGTCCATAGATTGTCCAGCTTTCACAGTAGCCTCACCTGCAAACCTATCAGCTTGCTCATTTCCTTGTACCCCCACATATCCTAGCACGAAAATAATACTAATCCTTGTCAGCCGTGAATTCTTTAGAGTCACCAACCACTGCCTTCGCACCCAGCCCTTCTCTTTCTTCCTGAGCAGACACCTTAGGGTTGAACGAGGCGTTAGACAGTTCCTTTGCATCTGGGTTATTTATAGTTTTTATGAAAATGGGCTTTTGCCCCAACCAATAAGAATGCCCCATTGGGTAACTGTGCATTTCTTTTTTAAATTTTGTTTTCTAGTATATTATAATAGCAGAATTGAGTGTACATATTAATGACTACTCCAGGGTTGCCTGAATTTATCACTGAGCAAGAAATTTATTGTATTTATAGCTATAAAAGCTGTAAAACAAATGCCTGAGGAAAACATTTTGAACATAAATGGGTTGAATTCAAAGGGATGAAAGAAATGTCTGGGCAACCACTGGTAACAACAGTAATAAGACAAAGAAGATGATGCTTTAGTAGACACATCATGGGAAGAAACAAGTAGAGAATCACTAAATAGGCACTAAAATGGGGAATAAAGGGACTGAAGTAGCGAGGACATTCAAGAGAAATCCTAAAATGAACATTGATGAGAGAGGCCAAAGATGCTGGACTAGATGTTGTCTATGATATCGGAGAGATTGCAAGGATTGAATGCACTGGAGGAATAGACTGTGAGCCTTGTGTGACATATAATGGCACAACAGAACGATGATGATGATAGCTGTAAGGGGATTAATGGTTTGTTTATTGAAGTAGTATAAATGACTGTCAAAAATCATTAACATTAATGAAATTATAAACCTGTCTTTATTGACAGCGGTCTTGTGGAACAGAAGTTAGCAGCCTGTGTGAACATCATCCCACAAGTGACATCAGTGTTAGTATCATGGACTTGTATCTTGCTGTCATGCATAACTGTCCTTCTCTGTTACAGCATCTTTGTCTTGTCTCACATTCAACTCATATCTTCCTATCACTACATAGTCACTTTTTAAAAAATTGTAAAAACATTAAAAACACATAAAGTATATATATATATATATATATTTGCTTTACAGAACACAGTCCAGTAAACAACATTGTGTCCGCAGGTCTGAATCAGCAGACAGTGAAAGACACACAAACACACTAAAAAAGGAAATGATGCTGCAGTAACTACATTGCAGCATTTAAAAATTATATACATAAATTAAACATAGTAACTGAATGATATAAAATGCATGATATTTATCTGACTGGCTTAGAAACTTATGCAGGAATAAACTATGACAAAGATCCCTCTGTGTAGGCCCATGATCATTGGGAAGCCTGTAGTTGAAAGCTGATCAGGGGTTAAACATGGGAGCAAAGAGAAGAGGTACTACATTATGCGAAAAGGAGGCGAACAAAGTTGATTGAGGTCAGCATTTGAAACAGGTTTGTAGAAAATGTGGGAATGTACATAAAAGAAGTCAACTCATATACACATACATACACACTCATTTTTATACAGGTATATGTTCTTACAGCATCAATGTCCTGTTTAAAATTCCTTTCTTTAGATATGTCATCTTATCCTGTCATACTGTTTAACTTTTTGAATTACAGATATCTTGTCCATCTAGTACAGTTAGTGTCTCTTTGATTGTTTGTGTGGTCCATGTATGTGTGTGAGTTCACATGTGTGTGTGGGTGCATGCATGCATATGTGGATGAATGAGTGTTTGAATGAGTGTTTGCATGTATGGATGAATAAATTTATATTCATATGCATAACTGAATGTTTAGCATTTGATCCATACTTGTGTGTGTGCGTGTGTGTGTGTGTGTGTGTGTGTGTGCTTGCTTGCATGTGTTTGTGGGGAGGGGGTTAATTTTCTAGTAATCCCTATGTGGGTTTTGACTTTTGGGGTGCCCTCTAACAAGCATGTTGTACAAGGCGACTAATTAGGGGTGTTTCTTTCAAGGTCAGGATGCCTCTGCCTGAGAGGTGAGGAACCAGTGGTCTGCATACAAATAGAGCCAGATCTGTAAAACATACGTGCATGCACAACACAAGTTCTGCAACACGACCAAAGTCGTGGATGATCAATCAGAACTTTTTGAAGATTTTTATGGCCTGGAGAGAACGAGGCATTTGGGTGTAACCACAGGGTCTGGCCAGCTCACTACAATCAGAGGAAAGGCAAGACGGATATATAACCAGATTGTAACCGGTACCATTAGTATTGGAACTCTGCTTTGGCTGCTGAAGATGAGGAGGGAGCATGCATGGGAATGCCCCGAGTGCAGTGTTGTGATGTCAATTCTTGACTCAGCTTAACTCAACTCAACTCATAACTTTTTGAAGAAGTTTACAGCCGGTGAATGTGAAGAAGAAGATTTTCTGATAAATGATGGACCTTGTTCACGTCTTTGGAGCATTGGGCACTTGGTGCTAAACCTGTAGTGTTATATACAAGTCAGCACTTGATGTGTGATGTGGTCAACATAATATCAGCTGCCTTTACTTTCTAGGAATTACCTGGTAATCATTTTTAGACTGGGCCAATCTGGAGCCAAAGTCAGTTTTGAAAAAAATCCACCTTCTTTATATTCATATTATTTATATTGCTTTGAATGTAACATGTTTTTATGGATTAAAAACAATTGCTGTGAAAGATGAGCGTTTGGAAGGGCTGAGTGTAAGATGAGTCAGCATGCCCAATTTGTGATGCTTTGAAAATAAAGTGTGTTCGTTCCTTCATTCCCAGGTTGACCTAGCCTAAAATGGGTACCAGGAAACAGCCTGGAAACTAAAGAACCCTTTTAGTGCCAGTTTCGCAGCTGATATATGATTCTAGACTCGTACTTTGATAGACCAGTCGGCACTTAGTGTGGTGATGTTATCAACATTATACCAGCCGCCGCTTTCTTATACTTGTCTTTACTTCTGGAATCCCTCACAGCGTCAGGGCATAAACGGACCTCTCTGTTTGCTTCATATATAGTACTTTTCAGTGCCTCTCATATTTCCAAAGTCCATCTTCTGCGTGGTCAACGTCTGGATCTGTTACCACTGTGTATAAAATGGCTGTCTGTGGTGCCCTGTCTGTGGCCACTCTTGTTACATGGCCAGACCATATGATCTGTTGCCTAAGATAATGTACAGTATTCTTCTGTGCCAACATCACTTCTGATATAATTGTTGCTAAGTCGATCTTTCCTTGTTACACCTAGAATAGTTCATAAACAATTCATTTCTGTGGCCTTTACTTCTCAGGTCACTTCCTGCTGCCAGTTTTAGGCTGGATCATTCTCACTGTTGTAGCCATTTAGCTTCCATGTTAATATGGGCTATTTCGATTGTAGAGTTGGCTTGTGTTATGATAGTGCTATCACAAAAGACAGTGTTGCTGTAATGATAGCAGTGTCAATAATCTTGGCATTAATGAATAGGATTGTGAAATTATGAGTCATACTGTATCATTAAGGAGATAATATTTTGAGACTGAACCTTCATTCGTGCTTGATTTAACAACATTTAACCAGATGTCATTAATGCCAAGACCGTGGCACAGCTGTATGACATGATAGAACATACTTTGATTTTACAGGTACACATGGCAGGGTAAAATCAATGAAGACAGTGAGCTGATACTGGTGAGGCTTTTCTTGAATTGAAGAATTCTTGTCCATGCACGCCTGCTTGCTTATCCTAGACTTTGTGTCTGTCTTTTCAGAGACTTGTGTTTAAATTATATGTGTCCTCAGCAGTTCCGTTCTCTCTCTGTGTCTCTCTTTCTCACTGTCTTTCTCTCTCCCTAAATGTCTCTCTCTCTGTCTTTCTCCGTCTGTCTCTGTCTCTATGATGTGGGTGACATCTACAATGGACATGCTACATGATGATGTTTAAAACGCATACAGCTGTTTACCTGTAACACACAACTAGTGATATATTTCAAACATGCTCAGTTAGTGATATGTTTGTAACATAGACAACTAATGATACACCTACAACATACACAGCTGTTGATATATCTACGATGTAACACTCACCTGCAGCTCTGAAGTTGGTGGGTTCAAATGCGGGTGGTGCTGGACATTTTTAAAAAATGACCTTGGCTCCCAGGCCGACCCAGCCTTAAATAGATACCAAGTCCCCCGTGTGGGTTCCGGGGCCCAATTGTGGGGAAAACAAGAATAGACCCACTGCCTCCCCAAAAGCATGTCATAAGAGTCAACTAATTGGGGAGCTTCCTTTGAAGTCAGAGTGCATCTGCCGGAGAGGCAAGGAACCAACAGTCTGTATTCAAGAGAATGAGATCTGTAAAACTGATGCACACGCAACACTCAGCTTCTGGAGCAGGACTGCAGTTCAGTAGTGGAGACGAGCAACCAGAACCTTTCGCCAGAGTTTACAGCTGGTGAACGCGAAGAAGAAGAAAAAAGAAGAAGAAGAAGATACCAGGTAAAAGTCCTGGGAAGTAAATGGGGATGGTTTGATGCTGACTTACTCACACACCAAGTGCTGATTGGTCTATAAAAATATAGGTCTAGCCCTATATGCCTAATATATCTGAAGGTGTGCGGATAAAAGGGTCCTTTACTTGTTTTACTTACAACATACACAAAAATATCGGAAAGACAGTGTTAAACAGGCCTGTGTAATATCGTCTTGAAAGTAGCAGTGATTATTTCATGTGTTTATAAAAATCCTTCAGATGATCAAGACACTAACATCCAGGATAGACGATGTCAGTGAATTTGTCAGGTGTGTAGCCATGTCATTTGTCTCTGGTCTTGTTACATACACACTGTCAGCTTTCAATTAGTAGTGACTCTTTGATGTTAATTGTAACTGTGGTGTGATTTTGATGAGCATTGTGATAATAGCATGCTGGTACAAGAAACCAAACTACGTTTTTAGGCAGATGTGATGAGCATTGTGATAATAGCATGCTGGTACAAGAAACCAAACTACGTTTTTAGGCAGATGTGATGAGCATTGTGATAATAGCATGCTGGTACAAGAAACCAAACTACGTTATTAGGCAGATGTGATGAGCATTGTGATAATAGCATGCTGGTACAAGAAACCAAACTACGTTATTAGGCAGATGTGATGAGCATTGTGATAATAGCATGCTGGTTCAAGAAACCAAACTACGTTATTAGGCAGATGTGATGAGCATTGTGATAATAGCATGCTGGTACAAGAAACCAAACTATGTTATTAGGCAGATGTGATGAGCATTGTGATAATAGCATGCTGGTTCAAGAAACAAAACTATGTTATTAGGCAGATGTGATGAGCATTGTGATAATAGCATGCTGGTACAAGAAACCAAACTACGTTATTAGGCAGATGTGATGAGCATTGTGATAATAGCATGCTGGTACAAGAAACCAAACTATGTTATTAGGCAGATGTGATGAGCATTGTGATAATAGCATGCTGGTACAAGAAACCAAACTACGTTATTAGGCAGATGTGATGTGCATTGTTTGTGATAATAGCATGCTGGTACAAGAAACCAAACTACGTTATTAGGCAGATGTGATGAGCATTGTTTGTGATAATAGCATGCTGGTACAAGAAACCAAACTACGTTATTAGGCAGATTGCCATTTTCTGAGAAAATGAGCATGACTTTCTGACCAGTTATACCATTGTTCAAAGCTGTACATTTTATAAATATTGTTATGTTAATAAGAAGCAGCCAGTTGAAGGGTTACTGGGCTGTCATGCGGAAAATCTGAGCTCAAAACCTTGGGAAGGCAATGGGAGCTTTTCTCTCAGAGGAATACTCAACATCCTGACCTGTACAACTTGTGGCCAATAGCTATTTGACCCTAAATCCTCAGGCTGAAGACACCCCCCCCCCCCCTTACATCCCGCCCCCTTTCCCCAATATCACCATTAAAAATGGTAGTAGAGGCAGTAAAGATTTTTTCTCTTTTTTTTTTTTAATTAACAGATTGAATTATCATGTGTTTACAAGTCTCTGTCGCTGTCATTTGTTGTTCGTTTATCTCTATTCTTTTATTAACTCTATTATTGGATTGAATTACCATGTGTCTATAAGTCTCTGTCACTGTCATTCATTTGTCTCTGTTGTTTTATTAACAGATTGAATTACCATGTGTTTATAAGTCTTTGTTGATGCTGACCATATCACCCATCAAGCGCTGATTGGTCTATAAAAATATAGGTCTACCCCTATATTTCCAGTACACCTAAAGGCATGGAAAAGGGACCTATTTTTTTTTTTAAGTCTCTGTCCCTGTCTTTGTTGTTTGCTTGCCTTTATTGTTTTATTAACAGATTGAATTATTGTGTGTTTACAAGTCTCTGTCCCTGTCTTTGTTGTTTGCTTGCCTTTATTGTTTTATTAACAGATTGAATTATTGTGTGTTTACAAGTCTCTGTCCCTGTATTTGTTGTTTGCTTGCCTTTATTGTTTTATTAACAGATTGAATTATTGTGTGTTTACAAGTCTCTGTCCCTGTATTTGTTGTTCTCTTATCTCTACTATTTTATTAGCTGATTGATTTACAATGTGTTTACAAGTCTCTGTCCCTGTCTTTGTTGTTTGCTTGCCTTTATTGTTTTATTAACAGATTGAATTATTGTGTGTTTACAAGTCTCTGTCCCTGTCTTTGTTGTTTGCTTGCCTTTATTGTTTTATTAACAGATTGAATTATTGTGTGTTTACAAGTCTCTGTCCCTGTATTTGTTGTTTGCTTGCCTTTATTGTTTTATTAACAGATTGAATTATTGTGTGTTTACAAGTCTCTGTCCCTGTATTTGTTGTTCTCTTATCTCTACTATTTTATTAGCTGATTGATTTACAATGTGTTTACAAGTCTCTGTCCCTGTCTTTGTTGTTTGCTTGCCTTTATTGTTTTATTAACAGATTGAATTATTGTGTGTTTACAAGTCTCTGTCCCTATCTTTGTTGTTTGCTTGCCTTTATTGTTTTATTAACAGATTGAATTATTGTGTGTTTACAAGTCTCTGTCCCTGTCTTTGTTGTTTGCTTGCCTTTATTGTTTTATTAACAGATTGAATTATTGTGTGTTTACAAGTCTCTGTCCCTTTGTTGTTTGCTTGCCTTTATTGTTTTATTAACAGATTGAATTATTGTGTGTTTACAAGTCTCTGTCCCTGTATTTGTTGTTTGCTTGCCTTTATTGTTTTATTAACAGATTGAATTATTGTGTGTTTACAAGTCTCTGTCCCTGTATTTGTTGTTCTCTTATCTCTACTATTTTATTAGCTGATTGATTTACAATGTGTTTACAAGTCTCTGTCCCTGTCTTTGTTGTTTGCTTGCCTTTATTGTTTTATTAACAGATTGAATTATTGTGTGTTTACAAGTCTCTGTCCCTGTATTTGTTGTTCTCTTATCTCTACTATTTTATTAGCTGATTGATTTACAATGTGTTTACAAGTCTCTGTCCCTGTCTTTGTTGTTTGCTTGCCTTTATTGTTTTATTAACAGATTGAATTATTGTGTGTTTACAAGTCTCTGTCCCTATCTTTGTTGTTTGCTTGCCTTTATTGTTTTATTAACAGATTGAATTATTGTGTGTTTACAAGTATCTGTCCCTGTATTTGTTGTTCTCTTATCTCTACTATTTTATTAGCTGATTGATTTACAATGTGTTTACAAGTCTCTGTCACTTTCTTTATTGTTTGTTTGTCATTGTTGTTTGCTGATGAAGACCTGTTGAAGTATCTGAATTGAATATATCAAGAAAGAAGATGGGACTGAACCAGCACTAAACTGCATAAAAGAGACAGCATATCAAATGGTTTGGACATGTATCAAGACTTCCGCCAGTGAGTGCACCACGGATAGTCCTGTTACTTAAACATAATGGGAGCACAACTAGAGGTCAACCACACAAGTAATGGATAGATGGAATATCCGAGGCCATAAATAGCCGCATCTACATTGCACATACGAAGACTGGCACCAGGTATCTCTAAAAACTGAGCTGTAAGGCAGAACTGGACTAGAGAAGAAGAAGGCTTGATGATTCAGTGTCTTCTTGTTTTATAACTGTAATTTTCTAAACATGGACTACACTTCATGCTTCCCTGTCTGCATTCTGTGCTATACCGACATTATCCTTCTGCCACCAGAACAGAGTCATGGCGGCTAGCGAGATGAGTGGATTATGTAACAATAGCCATGAAAAACTCAGTTGTGTACTCATTGCAACAACAGACAGCATCTTAAATGTAACAACAAGGTTGCAACACCTCAGGTCTACACTCATTAAAGAGCTTTTACATCGACACATTGCTGCCCATCAATCAATGGATTGCAAACTGTTCCTCCCCACAACGCTTAACAGCAGAAGTGGAAACATGATGATGATAATGACTCATTGCAACAAGAGACAGCATCATAAATGTAACAATAGGGATGAAATGCCTCTCAGTTATTATATGTAATATAACGATAAGAGACAGAATCATAAATGTAACAACAATGATAAAATAAATGTCCAAAACATTTTCTGATAGTGAATTTAAATAATGCAGATGCAAACAATACATTGTACAATTTATTGTCTCCATATTGTACTGTTTCTAATCAAGTCCATTGCTGCAGATTTTCATCAATAAAAAATAGAGCATAAAAACTGAATTAATTCCTCTGAAACACTCTCACATGGTCTCTCTTGATACATCGTTCATCTGATCGTCAGAAGTTCATGATAGTCACATGACTTATGAGGGTAACTTCAAATTTATAACAAACTCCTTCTGTTTGCATAAGTTTACATATACCTAATACAACAAGAAAAGACAGAATCAGACTTTTATGTTATCACTGTCAACATTACTGCACACTGGGCATTCCCAGGCATGCTGAGTCTTCTGATGCAGCAGTCATTCCAAGAACTCTATTGATAGTCCCAGTGAGAACTTGATTTTATTGTTTCCTGCAGTGACCTCAAAGACATCTTAGACATGTTGCACCAAGCTTTCCTTCTAGGTCAGGCAGTCTTGTTACCGTCAGATGTTCATCTTTATTCATCAGCCTGGTCTTTCAGTACCCTCGGGATTGTAACAGCAATGTTAAAACGCCTGTGAACTATATAATGTGACAAGAAGAGACACAAGCAGAAATGAAAATAGCAGCAAGCTAGTTGGTACTGTTAGTAAAGGGCCTTTTGCATACATTATTGGCTATGGATATTGATGAATGAACTTTTGAGGATTTATAGTTTGATGAATGATTGATAGTTTATGTTGATAGATCAGCTATATTCTTACCATTGCAGACTTTATGGGATTTTTTCCCCTCAAAATTGATCTTGTCTCCCAGGCTGACCCAGCCTAAATGGGTACCTGCTACATTCCTTAGAAGCAAAAGCATCCGGTGTGATGTTGAGCACATCGCCTGTCTAGTGTTAATTGGTCTACAACAGCAACACAATGAATCTAGTATCATATGCCTGATAAACCACTGGCTTGAGAAGGGTCATAACCCACTTTACTTTTGTTACAGACTGTCAGGAGTTTTTGTGTGGTAAATTTTTGTTAAACTGCTGTCCCCAGGAAAAACCACCCATATGAATGTGCTGAAGTGATTTCCTCAAAGGTACAGTTGATACAAGCTTCTTGCAGATAAAGTTACTGAGCAGCAGGGCAGATTGTTAATTGTGAATAAATACTGAATGTTGAATTAAGAATTGACATCACAGCACTCAGGACACTCCCATAAGCACTCAGTTCCCATCTTCAGCAGCAAGCGAAGAGTTAAAATTCTGATAGTACCAGTAACAGCTGATTGTATATCCGTCTCGCCCCTCCCCCGAGTGTCGAGCGTCGGCCAGATCCCCTTGTAACTCCTCGCAGTGTCCTTAGACCGTAATGATCTATCTGCTCCTCGGCACTGTTCACTCGCTCCCAGAGGGCCCTCACAACATCCAGCTTGTCATATATCAGTTCACCACCAAGTGGTGCAGAACCGTCCAGTCTATCCGCCTGCTCATTTCCTAACACACTAGCGTGACCTGGAGAAAATATCCAAAGGATGCTAACTACCCGGGACCTCTAAAGTGATACTTGCCATGAATGAATACTGACAGTGAGTTATGGCTGAGTGATGAACAGATTGTTAATTATGACTGAGAGATGAATAGGTTGTTAGTTACGGCTGAGTGATGAACAAATAGTTAGTTACAGCTGAGTGATGAACAAATTGTTAGTTACAGCTGAGTGATGAACAAATTGTTAGTTACAGCTGAGTGATGAACAAATTGTTAGTTACAGCTGAGTGATGAAGAGATTGTTAGATATGGCTGAATGTTAACAAATTATCAGCTGAATGATAAACAAATGGTTAGTTACAGCTGAGTTATTAACAAATTGTTAGTTACAGCTGAGTTATTAACAAATTGTTAGTTACAGCTGAGTTATTAACAAATTGTTAGTTACAGCTGAGTTATTAACAAATTGTTAGTTACAGCTGAGTTATTAACAAATTGTTAGTTACAGCTGAGTTATTAACAAATTGTTTTTTACAGCTGGGTTATTAACAAATTGTTAGTTACAGCTGAGTTATTAACAAACTGTTAGTTACAGCTGAGTGATGAACAGATTATTAGATATGGCTGAGTGTTAACAAATTATCAGTTATGACTGACTGCTGAAACAAATTGTCTCTGAATAATGCGGATACAGAGTGTTTAATGTGGACTAAGCACTGGAACAGATCACTCTTAGTTGTGATTCATTGCTGACTCAAATGCATAAATGTTTCTGATGAGCAGGCGAAAGCAGGGCTTTCTTTTTTTCTGTTGGTCTGGAATGGTGTGCAGTACAGGCACCGGTTTTTTTAAAAATTTATTTTTCAAATTAATTTTAAGCATACTTTTTTTTCTGTAATAGACAATTTTCTGGTGCATACCAGCACTTTTTATTAGACTCCTTGTGGTGAGTAACGAAACTTTTTATTTTGCAAGCTGTCTAGGAAAAAGCCCTGTTGGAAAGTAAAACCGTAATGCTGACATTGACATTGCTGAGCATACAGCGTAACATGTGTAAACAATAGGAAAAAATGTTACAGTAGGCACTGGATTCCATCCTTGGTATTAAATTGATTGGACAGGATAGAATGGAATGGAGAAATAGACTGTGAGCGGTATGCGAAAAAAAATGGCACAACAGGATAATAAATAAACAAATCTATGTATAAACACACGCATATATATGTATCCATTAAACTTTGCTGAGGTAAATGGGGAGGAGACAAGAGGAATGAGTATGGTACTGGGGAGAATTACAGTTGTTACACTAAGATATTGGAATGTATTTGTTCTTCCTTTTTTTTCTCTCTTACAGATTGATAATGGCAACCCACCGTATTTGAAATGGATCTTGGACACAGTTTCTGATAAGACAGAGCCAAGCGTGTAACTGTGAGCATGTGTTCGAAAAAAAGCAGTTGACAACTGACAGCAGTAACACATTGTTTTCTTGTGTAGAAAACACACTACATAGCTTTCAGCTGTTTCTGTCAACACATCTGATTTATTCTGTGTACGTGTGGAAATTATCAGAACTATCTGTTTATGTGTAAGTATTGATTTCAGCGCCGTATGTTTTTGTGTGAGTATTGATTTCAGCACAATCTGTTAATGTGTGAATCGTTGATATCTTTACTTCTATTTTTATGAAAGAGTTGATATCTTTACTTCTTTTTATGTCTTAGTGTTGATATCAGCCCTATATGTGAGTGTTGGTATCAGCACTATTTGTTTATGTGTGAATGTTGATATCAGCACTATCTGTTTATGTGTAAGTGTTGATATCAGCACCCTCACTTTATGTGGGAATGTTCATATGAGCACTATCTATTTATGTGGGAGTGTTTATGCTCCCACTATATGCTTATATGTGAGTGTTGATATCATCCTTTCTGTCTGTTTATGTGTTAGTGTTGATATCATCCTCTTTGCTTGTTTTTGTGTCAGTGTTGATATCGGCTATTCAAGAAAAGTCATTAATACCATACAACTGGCAACGATCCGCGGGCCAGATTCACCCACGGGCTGCCAGTTGAATGGCCTTGGTTTATATTATCAGTGAGTGTTTATATCATCCTCCCTGTCTGTTTAAGTGTGAGTGTTGATATCATCAATTTTATCTGTAAATAGGTAAATGTGTTCACTGAAATGTTAACTGTTATTTCCAGGAAAGGGCAGACATGATCATTTTTGCCGGTTAAAAAAAATAAAGTGAAACAAACTACTTATTGCATGCCACATGTGTTGTTGGAATAGACAGGGAGAGAAAGTTGTCACTATGGTGGATAGTTTTTTTTTTTTTTTATGCACATACCAAATGTAAAATGTAAGAAGATATATGGTGTTATGTGTCAGTCACAGGAGAGTTAATCACACACCACAAGTTGCTTGGAAGAGTAGCTTCCTTAGTCTCGCCACAGAGATTCTTAATTTTCTGTCTTTGATTTTTCCAGTGGACAGAGATGAACAGAGAATCATCAAATAGGCGGTGAAATGGGAGATAGATGGACTGAGGAAAATTAGAACGTCCAAGATAAACCCTAGGGCGAATGTTGATGAGAGAAGCCAAAGGTGCTAGATTGGATTTTATCCATGATTACACCTCAAGTTTTCAGGCCCAGAAAGAAAGTGACTTTCTTTCCTATTCATAAACTGTAGTGTGGCAGGGCTTGTGCTATGTTGCGATGGTGTCGAGCTTAGTGATTGCCCAACAACACCACAACACGCAGCAGTTTACTAGTTTTGTCACCGGCCAGCGATATTGCGTGTTCTCTATTAGAGGATGCGAGTGCTTTTAAGGGACCCAAAACATGCAGAACTGGACGTAGACTGCACTTCCTCGTGGGATGTCGGGGGGTTGGGGTTAGGGCCTGTGCTGCATGTTTCGGGAATGTTAAAAACGCTTACATCCTGTAAAATATAATGCGATATCACCGAACAGTGACAACTAGTAAAGTGCTGCATGTTGTTGGCCAATCACTAAACTTGACAGCCCCCAACGGCAATTTATGAATGTGAAGGGAAGTCACTCTCTTTCCAGCCCTGAAAACGTAAGATGTTTCAAATAACAGGAAATTTTATGTTTATTCTTATGTTGTGTTTGTTCTTTCTCACAGTTTTAGCAGAAGGGGAAAATTGGTGTACTTTATGACTACAGAAATACAGAAAATGGGGAGAGGCAGAGGGAGACCAGCAGAGAAGATTGTGTGCAGATTGGCAATGTACGGGCGACAGAAGGCTGAGGTACAAACGTGATCAGGGGTGGGTTTAACAAAAAAAAAATTTAAGAGACAAGAGGGTCCGGAACTCACCATGTAGTGTCTAAAAAAAGTGCGGGTACACACCACAAAGTGTCTGTTGCAGTAACACTTAAACAATTTATAGCAAAAAGTGCCGGTACTGCGTACCACCCGGAAAAAAACAAAACATGGACATGATTTTCAAAGCCACCCAAGAGCAGCAACAGCTTTTCCAACCTACCATTTCTTTATAGAACAGAAGCAGGTAAATCAGAAATAAAATACAACAGAAAAAATCAAAATACTATAAAGACATCATGGAGTATTTGTTGTACAAAGACAGCCATTTTTGAAGAGAATCACTCCTAAAACTAAAGTCAAGATGTGCCCACATTTGCTTCATGATTCCTCCGTTAGAAACTCGCAGATTTACTAAAAGCACTTAAGATCTACAGTTAACATCTTTATTTCAGTTTGACTTTGGTGTGATGTCCTGGTACGGACTAACGGAGATTCACGCCATTTCTTATTGTATTTGTTGTCTCCTAAACTGATCGTGACTTCGATAAACCCAGGCCCTCTGTAATTTATCTTTATCTACTAGAATAATGCGGGATATAAAACCAAAACCCACCACTGATACCAAGTGATTTAGACAGTTCAGAAACTACTTGAGGACAAAAAATAGAAAGTATATAGACCTAGTTCTATCTGTCATAGATTTTATTACTTTTACCAATGGCCACGTCATGCAAAAAAAAAATGGAAAGCATCTTAAGACACCGTAAGTATAATAGTAACTGGAAGAAAACATACCCACGGCTCAAAAAATCTTTAGACGGATCAGAGGCAGCATATTGTAAACTGTGTCAGTGCACAGTTGCACCAAGAATTAGTAGCATATCAAATCATGAAAAATCATAAAAACTCAGGATGAAAACTCTGTCAAAAAGCCAGTCACAGCTTATTACTACAATGACTCCTAGGCAAAGTAATTATAAAGTTAAAGGCAGCAGAGTTGCAACTTGCTGTAGGCATGACCTGCCATTGTGCAATACGCACATCATCTAAATGAAATCATAAGAGCGCAGGTTCGGGAAGAACATTAGAGCACATACAGTTGCATATAACTAAATGTTCATGCCTAATAAAAAATATTATAATGCCTGCTCTTAATGATGACTTTACTGGTGATTTTCGAAACAAGAAATATTCCATTATTATAGATGAGTTGCAAATTCCCCGTGTGGCTTCCGGGGCCCCATCGTGGGGAAAACAAGAATAGACCCACTGCCTACCCAAAAGCATGTGGTAAGAGTCAACTAATTGAGGAGCTTCCTTTGAAGTCGGAGTGCATCTGCCTGAGAGGTAAGGAACCAACAGTCTGCATTCAAGTGAATCAGATCTGTAAAACTGATGCACACGTAACACTCAGGTTCTGGAGCAGGACTGCAGTTCAGAAGTGGACGAACAACCAGAACTTTCCACCAGAGTGTACAGCTGGTGAACGCGAAGAAGAAGAAGATGAGTTGCAAAGACTTCATCCCATCTGAGAAAATGCTTACAGATTTTACATCCGAAAAGGTTTACGCTGTGTCTTTCACTGGTTCCAGTGAGGATGACAGTGAAAAATTCGATCTAGAGCTTTTGATATGAAGCGAGTACAATGTTACACTTTATTTGGCATTTTTCTGGCATATTTTTGGGTAATGGTTTGGCATAAAATGATGTGAGGGTCACCCCAGTAGTGACCTAAGGAATTTGGGACATTACATCCACCAGCAGGCGTCGCCCCTACAAAGACCTGAATGCCTTCGTTAACAACTGTTTACCCAACAGCCATGCAGTTCTTTAGCACGATGGAAACTCCTTGAACTTGGGTTTCGGACTGCCGACTCTACAAGATAAGGCACAGTCCTTGCTGTGACAGAAAGTTGGCTGTAATAGAGAGCTGCCGTAGAAAGGTGCATCCAAGGGACGGTTTCAGAAAGAGATGCATACTTTGTGACAGGGTTACATCGCTTGAACAATGTATTCTGCAAGCCACCAGGGGTTGCATTCATATTTTCTACGTTCTTACAATAGTAATACAATAGCGATGACTAATAATTATCACTAACAGCCCAGCCAATACATACATAAATCGGCGTGGACAGAAGAAAGAGAGAGAGAGATCACAGCATAACTAGTTGAGTTAAGTCAAGAATTGACCTCACAAAATTCGGGGCATTCCTATGTATGCTCCGTCCTCATCTTCAGCAGCCGGCGCAGAGTTCCAATACTGATGGTACCGGTCACAGTTTGGTTAAAAGTCCATCTTGCCTTTTCTCTGAGTGCAATAAACCGGCTAGACCCTCTGGTTACACCCAGGGGCCTCATTCTCTCCAGGCCACAAACATCTTCTTTCTCTATTGATTCCGTTGCTTGTTCACGTAAGGCTTTGACAACATCTGCCTTGTCTGTATCAATTCACCACCCAGTGGTGGCGATCCAGCCAATCTGTCTGCCTGTTCATTACCCACCACACCGGCATTGCCTGGAGAAAAGATCAAAAGTATGCTCACCACCCGTGACCTTTTCAGTGAAGCTAGCCACTCTGCTTTCAGCATGCTTTTAGAGCGTTACAATTACGACATGTGTATGCATTTTGTTCTCTAGCCACCAGAGAGCTGCTGTTACCGCCTCCACCTCCATTCTCATGCTAGATGTTGTTTTGTCATATGCTAGTCTGTCTTGCACTAAAGATTTTCCATTGGCTTTCGCTACGAACCCCCAGGCACTTCTCATTCCTCTCAGCACGGAACCATCTTTATAGATAATCAGATCACCTGGGCGTGAATTGTTGTGAATCAACTGTTGGACTTCAACCTATGTAGCACCCGCTGGCCACTCTCTGCACAGCAAAAGTAAAGCGTTCATTGTGTCGATATTCGAACGTGCTTGTTGTCAGCCGTACAGTTGAAGAAGGAATGTAAACTGACACGGGATGCAAGGGCAGAAAAGCAGCAGGCCGGCAGCAATGGAGATCACTTGTGAATGCCTTATGTGTCAACAGCGACATGAAGAGGATATAGACCAGCTGCCTTGTCGAATGGCTTGGGCGATCATGCCTCTCCACAATCTGCGATCTCCAGCAACATGTATCAGTTCGTGTGTCGACACACCTCCATGCCACGCAACAAGACTATCAAGAATCTTCTCTCGTTGTCTTCCTCTATCCCTCCTTCCAAAGATCTTTCCAGTGGTCACAACATGTTCAATTTTCCATCTTCGCATAACATGGCCGAAAAATGATGACCGTCTCCTTCTTATCTGGTAATCTTAGTTTCAGCATCATAGCAAACGGGTCGCCCCATAGTTGCTCCGCTCTTGTGCCAACGAAAAACACACAAAATGTTTATCACAGTTCAAATGAAATCCGCAGCTCATAGTGTTACGCCATGCACTCAACTCAGAAGTTGGGCAACGAAACTATATCCTTACAGTCTACAAATGGAGAAAAATGCAACGCCCACCGTCTGACAAAAGCAACAACAACAAAATTGCCACGGCTACAAAAAGTGGCCGTGCCTAGCGTCCATTTTGACCTGAAGCATTTTTTTAGGGGGATTTAAAGGTCACCCCAGCAGTACCCTCACTATTAGCTTTTGAAGGTGCTTAGGACATTACATCTACTAGCAAGCGTCGCCCATATAACGACCTGACTGTCTTCGTTAACGACTGTTCACCCAACAGCCATGCAGTTCTTTGGCACGAAGGAGACACCTTGAACTTGGGTTTTGGACTGCCGACTCCCTACAAGATGTTATGTTATTTCATGTTATCACAATCGACGTCACTGCACACTGGGCATTCCCATGCGTGCTCAGTCCTCCGTTGCAGCAGCCACTCCAAAGTACTTATACTAATTGTTCCCATGAGAAGCTGGTTATATTGTCTCCTATTTCGGCCTCGAAGACGACAAAGACGTGCCTCACTATGCTTTACTCCCGTGTCACGCAATCGTGTTAGTGTCAGCGATTCCTCATTATCCACTAACCCAGTTCGTACAGCGTTGACTATATCTTTTTTTTTTTTAAATCGATCTCCGGCTGTGAATTCCAGTGGAAGGTCAGGTTAATCGTCCGCTTGGACTTTTGGCTTTCACCTGGACCTGATTTTTGCGTGTACAACCGTTTTTCATTTCCCTGCCTCATGGGCAGCTGTACTCCGACTTCGAAGGAAGACGTCAGGCCTATTTCTAGGTTGACTGTGGCCATTGTTTTGTGTGGGTCGTGACGTTGCCTGATTTGTGTGGTGTCCACTTTGTCCCCTTCGCGCAGGTATTGCCCTCGGAGTACCCCTTTGGGGCAGCCCCCTGTGGAACAGTTAGCCCTCAAGGGAAGGCAGGGGCAGATCATGGGCATTCCCCGCCATCCAAGGAGGTTTCCATGCATGCAGAGCCGGCACATGGCGCTCTGGTTCTGGGCTCACCCAAGGAATCGTCACGTCCTGCACATGCCTGCTTAACCTCACAACCGTATCAGGCCTCCCGCTCGACAGTGGCTGCGCCCTCTGGAAGTCAGCGGGGAGCAGCCCGTGGGTTTTGGACTTTTGTGACCACACAGATAGGTACATTCTTTTTTCCTCGCACGTTAGATTTCTTTGACGAGCCGTTAGCCCGACAGAATTTTACATCCTGCATCAGGCATATTGTTATCAGTTTTGTCCCAGCCCTCGGGCGAGTGGGATCTTTGGGTGTGGACATTCGGTCTTTTTCAGTTCAATACAAATTTTGATGGTCAGATTTTGATCCGTATGATCTAGTTTTGTCGGACAATTAGGCTTAGCCCTCCGATGGTTGGTTTCTGTTGTGGTGTACCTCAGCGCGGTGACGACGACACTGAAGGTTAACCGAGGATGTACATGATGTGCAGTGAACAATGTTCTCTTTACTCCGCAATCTTTTAACCAAGGGTTGTAATTTTGACTGTACGTTTGGCAGACCTACTCATGTTCCTAATGAGTTTTGATAACATTTTTCACCCAAGCGTTTGGGGGCGGGCTGATGAGAGCCACAAGGACACATCACCTCTGGGGGCCGCCGAACTCCGAGATCCCCTGACAGCTCTGTTAATGCTCTTTTGAGACATTATCCGTGGCGCACGACGAGGACGTGCTGTAGGGGTCTTGCGTGAGGTTCCGTACAACCAGGATAGTAAAGGACTGGCGCCAGAGTGACGTACGGAGTATCTCCTTATACACATCATGTTGGACTTAACTTCCCCTCACGCCTGTGACATAAATCACCGCGCCACTGACTATATCTGCTCTGTCCATGCTTTTTCCCACAATCCTTAGTGCAGTGCCTGCCAGTTGGTCCGTTCGCTGATTTCCCTTTACACCCGCATGACACAGTGTTTAGATCCAGGTTACGGAGGTAAAGGGCGATTTTCGAATGCTTTCTACCCATTCAGAGAGCATACTGCCTGTTGCTATCTTCTAAAGCATATTCATGGAGTCTGATACAATAACTGTTTGGCGGTTTACTCGGATACCCATGTTTAAGCTCTAAAAGCAGCGGCTATTTCCATGGTCATACTTGACGTAGTTGTCTGGTAAGCGCCTCTGTCCTCCTGTATTGTTTTCCCTCTTCTTTGTGCTGTGTATGCCAATGCTGACCTTGATCCGCGCTTCACTGATCCATCTGTGTAGATGATGATATCTTCTGGGTCTGAATGCTGATCTATCAGTTCTCTTACTTCTGTGTCTACGACCGCAGGAATCAGATCCTGGCAGTACCTTCCGAGTGTGATGACAACCTTAGAGATGCCATGCATGTCTACTGGTGTATTCGTCCATTCTTTTCCATGACTGATCACGTCTAGGTCACATACCTGCTGGATTAAATCCTCAGCATTTGCCATTCAAAAGCGGCCTCTTTTGAGACGCGTTCCTTTTGTGTCGTGTATTGGTTTGTGCAGTGGGCGGTTAACGTCTGCTGATACCCTCATGTACGCCTTGACCTGTGCCACTTTGTATCTGCTAGTCTCCTTCTTATATTTGTGATAAGTTGTTTTCAGGCTCCCGCATCTTTCCAAACCGCATGGTTGCCCTTTTTTTGGGGGCTGTCCAAGGTATTTTAAGCATTCTTCTGTAAAACCACATCTCTAAGACCTCAAGAATTTGGCCTGCCTACCAATTGTCCAGGACTCACAGCCATATGTTAAAACTGGGTGTGTGAAGAAAGCAAGAATTCTTTTTCTAACCTTCAGTGACATTTATTGCATAAGATATTCTTCATTTAATAAAATATTAAATAACCAAAAGTAGCTGACAAGCATAAATATCTAATATTGAAATAAAGAAAATAAAAAAATTTGAATGCCTTGAATTTTACGTCTTTATGGGTTTTCCACAGATAAAACTGGCTGTCACCCAAAAATAACAATAAATGATGAAGAAATTGAAAATGTCACAAACTTTGAATATCTAGGCTCTATAATAAACAACAATGGAGACTGTTCGACAGAAATTAAAAGGAGGATGGCCATAGCAATGCAAAGATTGAACAGCCTTAAAAGTCTATGGTTAAGCACCAGCAAGGAGATAAAAATTAGAATTTTGAGATCATGCATCTTCCCTGTAGCAACATACAGATGTGAGTCGTGGACTATCTCTCAGTCCTTAAGAAAGAGAATAGGGGCTTTTAAGCTGAAATGCTATAGAAAGATTCTCAGAATATCTTGGACAAAGAAGATGAGAAATATTGACATCTTGAGGGATCTGAACATCAAGGAAGATTGGCTAATAAACAGCATCCTTTCTCAAAAGCTGAAATATTTTGGTCATATCAAGCGCCACGACGGATTGGAAAAAATTATAGCAGAAGGCATGGTACCAGGAAGGAGGGGCAGAGGCCGACCGACACGAAGATGGGCACAGGATATAAGTGACTCCTTGAGTGTGAAAGTTCATGAGGCGGGAGAACTGGCAAGAGACCGAGTTTCTTACAGGCAGACAGTGATGAGAGCGACGTTCTGCAAAGGACCTGCTACATGATGATGATGGGTTTTCCAAGGTATATCTATAATAAAGCCGTGACCTCCGGCAGTAGAATTAAAAGCAGCAGATGCCGTGGAGGTGACATCGGCACGGTAACTATAGCTTTTGATTTTTATGTTGTCTAGTGTGTTCTTCTATCATTCTACTTCTTTCTATGAGTGCCCATCTTGATTAATTCTGAATAAAGCCTACAATAAAACGGCATTTAATGATTCCTGGCATATTTCGCTGTATCTCGTCAGGTGCATTGCTACAGTTAAATCAAAATATAGTGTAGTGCAAATTGAATCCTTTCTTGCTGAAATGCATAGAACCACAATGTCGAAAAATATGTGATTTGCAAACAACCAGAGGAAGAGAGGGTAAGGATTTCCTCCTATGGAGTAACTCTCTTGTGTTCTAAGATATAATTGTCAAGGTCAACAACAATGGCGACGTACGTTGTGACCAGGGTTGTACCTACGGGTTCAGTGTCGTTTTGTGTAATTCGAAATCTTCTGTCAGTCAGCAAGAAACCTGGAGCATTGCTATCATGCTACAATAGTGTTCTGTGTTTGCGTAGGTTTATATCCCCAAACAAAGGGGTGCTGAACCCAGCAGTCGCAGAGAAAGCTAAGAAACCGCACTGTAACGTGGGGACAATCGGGCATGTCGACCACGGGAAGACAACTCTTACTGCTGCCATAACAAAAGTCTTGTCTGAAGTTTATAGCAGCGAAAATAAATTCGTATCTTACGAAGCAATCGACAAGGCTCCAGATGAAATTCGTCGAGGCATCACGATAAATGCCGCTCACGTTGAATACGTCACGCCCAAAAGACACTACGCCCATACAGACTGTCCGGGACATATTGATTATGTTAAAAATATGATAACTGGCACTTCACAGATGGACGGCGCGATTTTGGTGGTGGCAGCAACTGACGGAACAATGCCACAGACCAGAGAACATTTACTGCTGGCCAAGCAGATTGGTATTGAGCATTTAGTTGTGTTTATAAACAAGGCAGATGCCGTGGACAGTGAGATGCTGGAGTTGGTAGAAATGGAAGTACGAGAGGTTTTGTCAGAATATGGTTTTAATGGTAACAAGTGTGCAGTAGTTTATGGGTCAGCACTGCAAGCACTGACAGGAGAAAACCCCACATTAGGCAAGGATAAGATTCTAGAGTTGATGGATGCCGTAGATACACATATTCCAACGCCAATGAGGAACTTAAATGAGCCGTTTCTGATGCCTGTAGAGAAGGTAGTGTCAGTTCCAGGCCGAGGCACTGTTGCAGTCGGCACTATCAAGAGAGGTGTCATTAAAAAGGGAGATGCGGCTGAAATTGTTGGCTTTGGCAATGTGGTGAAAACAGCGGTTTCTGATTTGCACGTCTTTGGTCAGAGTATGAAGGAATGTGTGGCTGGAGAGAATGTTGGAGTTCTAATTAGAGGTGTCAAAAATGAATCGCTGCAACGAGGTATGGTCTTGGGTGCTCCAAAGACACTGACTCAGTGTAATTCTGTGAGAGCACAAATGTACCTGTTGACTAAACAAGAAGGCGGACGCACCCGACCAATCACAAACAATTACATACAGATGATGTACAGCTACACCTGGAACATCTCGGCATGTCTGCGCCTGCCACCGGACATCAGTCTTCTCATGCCAGGGGAGGCAGTCCACGGTGAAGTGTTGTTGAGGCTGCCAATGGTGGCTGCTCCGGGACAGAGATTCACTATTCGTGAGAACAATCTTACCACACTGACAGGGCTTATCACTGAGATCCTGCCGCCCAATGAGCTGAAAGTCAAAGGCTTTAATGTGGAGAAAAGAGTCACTCACTTCATAGAAAGCAATGCTCAGGTAGTCAGGAGTGCCAGGCTGAGGAGGAAGAAGAACACACCTTGAGTGTCATGTGTCAGTGAAGACTTATCTCTTCAATTAGGTAGAGCAAGACCAAGTTAATAAACCACATGTGGCCACAAGGAAATATAATAGAAGTTAAGAAGACATAATTTTGGCCTAATACAGTGCAGACCTGATAAGAACTCACCAGAGACTTAAGAAATGGTTCTTCTTTTCAGAAATTACTCGTATCCAGATAAGAGTTCAAGGAAGAAAAATTTCCAGGGATAATCAAATTGTTCTTCGCAAAAGAAATTCACCAGTTCCCAGTTCGCCTTAAGCGATCTGCACTCTAGTACATTAAGATTATTGTTGCTGCTGTTTTGCTTTAAAAGAAATATATTTATCTATATAAGGCAAAGAATTAGCAGTTTTCAACTACAAAAGTAATTGTGGTAGGAACACTGATATTTGATAAGGCAGAAATTCTGAAGGCCAATTGTGAACAAATGTTGATGGTAGACATGTTAGATGAAACATCTTGTGTTAGGTTGTATGAATTTGTAGTGAATGTAATCAATGTAAAAGTTTTTCAATGTAGGAAACATTGAATCTGTCACTGCAACCTGGCACCACCTAAATATGCTGAGCAGGTACTCCAACCCCATAAATTGTACACTGCTGACAGAGAAAACATCTGGCCTGTTCCCACCTCAGTCAGGACAAAGCTGTATTATACATAGGGAGATTTGGTCTATCTTCCGAATAACGGTCCCAAATTATCGAGGCGAAAAATATACCCTAACAGAGCCTCAGTAACGTGTCAATTGTGGTCTTCCGGGGACTATACCACCACCGCCGAGAGTATCCCTCACGCGGCGCGGATTGGGGCTTAACTAGATGGCTGGAACTCACGAGCAAATAAAATGAAGGAAGCTGCAGGAGATGCGGTAGCTGCTGCTTGTGAGTCCCTGCCATCTAGTTTAGCCCCAAACCATGCCTCATGAATGGCGTGGGGGAAACTCTCGGCCGTGGCGGAAGTCGCGATAGTGCGCAATTTAAGTCGCCGGAAGTTCGCAATTGACACGTGACTGAGACCCTGTAAGGGTATATTTTTCGCCTCAATAATTTTGGACCGTTATTCGGAATATAGCCGAGATTTGGATTGCATGATAGCTTTCATCAAGCAGGGTTCGTAGTGGACCGGGAAATCGGGAAATTACCGGGATTTTTTTCGTTGACCTTGAACCGGGATTTTTAGCTTATAAAAGACATTCCGACCTTAAAAACCCGTGAATTTTGACCGCGGCAATGAAATCGTCAGAAATCCTGTGTTTTTCAGCACAGGCAATTTTGAGGGAGCCATTTGGCTTTTTTGGCCATTTGGCTAGTTTTTGGCTACTTTCGTTGTATGGTCGTTTCAGGTGTGAGGGCAGCTGATTATTGGCTATTTTCAGCCGAAATGGCTTGTTAAAGGCCAGGGGAGGGCGGGCTTTGTTGCTGATCATGAAAACATGCAGACAGCAGCGGTGTGGCATGGGGCGGGAAGTAGCAGATTCCGTCTCGCGCGCGTGTGTGTGTGCCTTTGTTTCTAGCGAGTCCGGCAGAATGAACAGTTTAAATCGTTTATGGCCGTGGTTTCTAGAAAGGATTACATTGGGAGATGGTGGGGCTCGGTGCAGTTGTATTTATAAATAGAGTCGCCGTGGTGGGGGCTAAGCACGGCCTTCTCTATTAATTAGAGATGGCATTGGGGCTAAGCAAAGTGACTGCAGCTGGATTTCCCAGTTCTATTTTTGGCCTGGATTTATCTTTACAGTGTGTTTGGCGATCAGTATTGTAATTCCCCGAGATTCCCTCTTCTGTTGTCTCACCCCTCTCTCTCTCTCTCTTCCCTCCCTCTTTCACTCTTCTACCTATTGCTCCTTCCTTCCCGTCTCCTGCATTGTCTCTAACCCTCCCTTCTGATCTTCATCTTCTTCTCTTTCTCTCTATCTTTCCATTGACTCTCCCATTTCCTGTCCCCCCTCCCCCTTTTTCCTATTTTATTTCTTGTTTAAATGTTTAGTAAATGTGCGGCTCCATAACTCTTCCTAGCAACTCAAGTACACAGGAAGTTGTATTGGGGGGGGGGGGGCATTCTGTGTGAACATGGTGGATATTTTCTTTTGATGTGTTTTTGTTTTCCTAGCGGCCTTAATCTCTGTCCATCTCCCTTCCCGCCCCTCACATTTTTGTCCTACCTGTTCCTCTCTCTGACTGTCTGTGTCACTGCTTTCCTCTCTCTCTTTGTATTTGCCGCTCTCCCTCACTCCCTCCCTCTCTTTCTTTCTTTCTCCATACCTTCAGTTGGTGTATAAGGTTATGTGTTGCCTAGTGCAGAACATTTCATGTCCATCATTCCCCCCTCCCACACATTAAATATATGTGTACTTTTAAAAACACATTTGCCGTCACCTTCCCCCCCCCCCCTTTTCTCCTCCCACATTGATGACACCTAGGGGAGGGAGTGCACCCCTTCCTGCTACCTTCTTCCCTCTATATCTCATCTTATTTCTTACTCCCTTCTTTCTCTCCCCTGTCTCATTCCCACTTTATTTTCTTAAACTTTATTCTCTCACCTCCTCTGTCTCACCCTTACCACCTCAGCCTTCTACACCACTTTCCACCACCTCCTCTCTCCCCTCCTTTTCTGTAATTGGAAAACCAGAAATAAAATGAAGTCCACTGCTGCCCTGACCTATTTATGTGTCTGACCTATTTATGTGTGTGGGTAAACTTCTCTATTTTCCACCAGTGGTGGGTTGGGATCCCCTGGACTTTTTTTTTTCTTCATAAAATGACCTTGGCTCTCAGGTCACCAGCCTTAAGTGTAAGAAATTGAATTATTGTTGTCACACACAGATAGGACAACCAAGGGGCAGTAGGGGTTAGCACTGTTGTTTTTGGACCACGGCCACATTCACATTGGGAGAGGGTAGGAACCGGAAAAATGGCCTCACTTAGAGATTTCCTAATTCTATTTTGGGCACTCATTGTTCTTACACCCCCCACCCCCACAACCGTGTCTTACCTTTCTTCTCTCACCCCTTCTCTTTCCTTTGATCTTCTACTATTCTCCTTTCTCTCTCCATTCTTCCTCTCTTCCTTTCCTTGCCCTTTCTCCTGTCCCATCTCTTCTTTGTCTCCTCTCCATCCTGTCTTTTCATTTTCTCTAGATTTCCTTACCCGCTCCCCTCTCTCATTCTCTTCCTTCCCCCCCCCCCCATTTTTTTTACCTGGTTCATCTACATATTTTTTTGCCCCATAACTATCTTTTCCTAGTGGTTGTGTCCACTACACTTGAAATTGTGTGTGTGGGGGGGGGGGGGGGGGGGGAGTGGGTGGCTGTTTTTTTTTCTTTGAGGTATCTTGTCTCCCTTCCTTCCCCCCTCTCTTAATCTGTGTTTGTCACTGCCTTCCTTACCCACCTTTCTCTCTCTCTCTTGCTTTATGTCTGTTTGCCTCCCTTCATCACTTCCTCTTTGTATACCTCCCTCCCATTCTCCTGCTCTGCCTTTTTTCTCTTTCTTTGGTTCTCTCCCTCTGTCTGCTTGCCTCTCTGTGCTGTCCCTTTGTCTCTCTCTCCTTTATGTCTACATCTCTCTCTGCTTGCATCTGCTTCTCACCCTGTCCGTTCTCTCTCCCTCTGTCTCCCTTCTTTCAACTCTTTGTCATATTTTCCTCCTTCCATATCTCTGTTTCGTTCCCTTTTTCCTTCTCTTTTCATCTGCCCATCTCTGTATCTGCATTCCCTCTTTCTGTATTTGTCTCCCTCTCTGTCTTTCGCTGTCCCTTCCCCACTTTTCCTCATCATGTTTCCATCCCTCCCTCTCATTTTTTCCTCCTTCCCCAGACTTCTTTTCCTTCTTTTCTCTACCTTCATCTGTCCATCTTTACACTGTCTCTCCCAGCCTACCTCAGCATGTGTCTTCCTCTCTCTTCATGACTCTCTCTCTCTCCCCTAACCCTCTCAGGTACCAGGTCCAGAACAGACAGGACTTCAGTTTGCTGCCCTCTACCACCAAGCCCTAAAAAAAAATTTCAAACACTATATCAAGCTCAGGGGCCGACCAACACGAAGATGGACACAGGATATAAGTGACTCCTTGAGTATAAAAAAAAGTACATGAGGCGGGAGAGCTGGTGAGAGACCGAGTTTTTTTTTTGTCAGGACAAAGGAAATGCTACATGATGATGATATCTGTGCTGGTATACCAACACATGTGGCACAAATGAAGTACCTTGTGTGCTCAGTACACCCTTGAACAAGGCAAAAATCTTGTATTAGTATTACACCGAGACAACCTTGAAAAAAACTAAGAAGACCTTGAAAAAGACCTTGAAAAGCCTTGAAATTGATTGGTAAATTTGGCTATGAACCCTGAATCAAGGCTACTGCTTCTTCTCTGGTCCTGTTCTGCCTTTCAGCATCAGATTTTGAAGAGGCCTCAGGTGTGAGTCTTTATGTGTGCTAGGTAGATGTAAGTATTTATGGCCTCAGATATTCAGTCTATCCATTGCTTGCGTGGTTGACCTCTAGTTGTTTCCATTATGTTTAACTGACAGGACTGTCTGTGGTGCACTATCTGGTGGTAGTCTTATACATGTCCAGACCATTTGATCTATTAGGGCTCTCTTATATCTTTTATGATAGACGGATTGAAGAAGATGGAGATAAGTTTTGTGTGGATCCAGCAAGAAAGTAAAGTTTATGTCTGCATCTCGTTCACAGGCTTTAACTCTGGCAAAAAGTTCTGGTTGTTCACCCACTTTTGGACTCAACCCTGTTCCTGAACCTGAGTGTTGTGTGCAAATCCGTTTAAGAGATTTGACTCATTTGTATGCAACTGTTGGTTCTTTGCATCTCAGGCAGATGCAGTCCGACTTTGAAGGAAGCTCCCCATTTGTCGACTCATACAACATGCTTGTTGGATAGGCAGTGGGTCTATTATTGTTGTCTCCTGAATGGGGCCATGCAACCCACATGGGGAAGGAGTGTATATAATATGTGTCCGATCTGT